CATCAAAGACGACATTCCGACTAGTGACTGTCTTCTTTGTTTCTGGATTGTAGAGCTTGTAGCCTTTGGAGTTAGCATCATACCCAATGAAGATGTACTTCTCACTTTTGTCATCTAGTTTGCTCCGCTTCTCATCTGGAACATGAACGTGAGCAATGCTTCCAAAGACTCTTAGATGTGATACACCAGGCTTCCTTCCCCAAGCTTCTTGTGGTGTCTTTCCCAAAACACTCTTTGTTGGAGATCAATTTGTTATATAAACCGCACACGCAACCGCTTCCGCCCACAACTCCTTTGGTAGCTTATTACTCTTGAGCATGCTTCTTGCCATCTCAAGGATAGTCCTATTCTTTCTCTCTGCTACTCCATTTTGTTGAGGGGATCTTGGCACCGTCAACTGTCTTCGGATGCCATTATCTTCACAATACTTCAGAAACTCCTTAGACGTGAATTCTCCTCCTCGATCAGATCTCATGGACTTGATCTCAAGACCACTTTCCTTCTCAACATGGGCTTTGAACTTTTTGAAATTCTCAAACACTTCTGATTTTTCTTTCAAAAAGTAAACCCATGTCTTTCTTGAAAAATCATCAATAAAGAGAAGGAAGTAGTTACTCTTTCCAAGTGAAGTTGGTTTGATCGGACCGCATACATCTGTATGTATGAGTTCTAATGGCTTTGTTGCTCTTGTCTCTGACTCCTTTGGAAAGCTCATTTTGAATTGCTTTCCAAGTAAACACCCTTCACACACTTGATTTGGATGGTTGATGCATGGTAATCCTCTCACCATTTCTTTCTTGGAAAGTAGCTCTTACCCTCCAAAGTTGAGATGCCCGAACCGAAGATGCCAAAGCCAAGAATCCTCCTTGTAACACATCTTTAGACATCTTGCAATGTCGTTTTGAATGTTTAAGACAAACATTATATTCTTTGACATTGGGACCTTCGTGATGAGATTGTTTGCTTCATCTCTTAGAGAAAGACTATTATCCTTGAGTCGAATATCATAACCTTTCTCTAAGAGTTGTCCTAGACTCAAGATGTTGGTCTTCATGCTTGGAATGTAGTAGACATTGGAAATAAATTGATGATCTCCATTCTTCAAACGGATGAGAATATTTCC